GCGCTCGCTGCCAGGCTGGGAAAGATAGACGTTAATCTGCTTCTGCGAACGCGCTTATACGGAGCAACGAGTCCCATTATTAGTAACAGTTTCTGTTGGCCGGCCATGTTTCTCGCGGAGGATATACATTGAAAGACCCAAATTTACGGCTGCCGCCCGTGGGAAAAACAACCCATGTTCAAAGGTGTTCACACAACCATCGCTATCGGTCTGCTTCTTTCTTCAATGTTCGCCTTACTTCTCACATGTCCCTTTCTCTGTCCCTTCTCGCTGACTCGCTCTCACTCTCACGCTTTCAGTTCGTGCGGGCCGCGCGCACAGGTAGCTATAGGAAACTCCGACAGTACACATCGAAAATTGTTTGAAATTAAGCAGCAATTTCAGTTTAATATGCGGGTGCATGTATAGCCTACATTTCTTCATCTATCTATCAACGGAATCACTCGCAGGCGAGTATGATTGTCTAGAAGTTCTAAAAATTGTTCTCTGTGCATTCTCAGATGACTTATAAATCCTCATATAATTTCTTCATAGGCCGTACACGAAGACGCAAACACGTTGCGCTCGCGTGCAACCGCCATACACGTATACTCAGTATACCGGTGACGCACGTGTCTGACAGCCGGGGGGAAATATACGACCAATGCGTATACGTGATTGTCCTTACCAGGCTCATCGAGATCGTTCAATGCCGACCGGCATTGTGCGAGCCCCCCTGACTGTAACTGCTACGCAGACTCTAACCATCGCCTATCTGCTCGAAACTACTATGCATATTTCCTCTCCGGCGAGGAACCAATGCTAATTATGCGGGCGGTGGAACGCATCGAACAGCGCGCGAAGCGGACGCGCGACTGTGCTGCTATCGTTTATTGTAACGGACGGTTTCGCCCGCACAGCTTGACTGTTATCTGAACCAGCGACAATGTCGGGACTTTATGTTATCCCTGCTTGAACGCCTTCTGCACTAGGGCGTTGAATGGTCTCCCGAGCAGTATTTCGTGTCACGCTGAACATGATCTCTTCACGTGTTATCGGCCTTTCTTTCTTTTCGTTTTCTTCCTTAGTCACTAACTCCGGTTGTTTGTAAGTATATAAAAACTTTATATAACGACGGTATAACGGCATTCTCTTTCTCTCTTGTCGCTCTCCCTCTCCCCTCTCTCAATCTGTCTATCTGCCTGTCTAACTCCCTTTCTCTCACTCGCTCGTTCGTTCTGTCTCTACGTCTCCCCTTCTACCTCCCTGTCTCTGTCCACCCCTCCCTCTCTCTCACTCCCTCTCCATGTCTCCACCTCCCATATTATCTTAACTCCTAACTACACTAACTACACTAACTCCTAACTACACTACCTACATTTACTCCTAACTACACTAACTACATCCACTAACTCCTAACGCCCATTCTAGCAGCATCGGTCCACACATGTGAGAAAATGAGCGAACCGTCTAATAGGAATGAAGAGGATACGTTCTAATAATAAACAAATCGCCCATCATCGTTGTTCTATTGGATATCAGAAGACGGTAGACACGGTCGTTGTGTTCGAATGCGGCTATGTACGTATAGTTGGGCTGCGTTAACGCTGAGTTGTCGTGATGAGGCGCGGCCACTCAATACGTACGGTGTTCACATAATGTTCACGCGCCTCGACTCTATATATTCATCTCCTCTTACCCAACAGCCCCACCCACCTGACCGCATCCACTTCCTCAGCTCCCACCGCCTCCCACCGCCCGGCCACCCCCGCCGCCGCAGCGGTAAACGCATGCGCAGTGGAGTTAGCTGTGGCTGACTCACGCCACGAAGCGTTTGTCGGTTAGTTGCGTCTGGCGGCGAGGTGCTCGGACCTGTTTCGGGCGTGTGCCAGCCATGCGCGCAGGGACGGCCGTGAGTATTCCACTCACCCGCTCAGCTGCACGCGCGCGCGCGCCCGCTACCAGTTTCTTGTCGCGCACAAAGCCGAGCCATAAGACGTGAAATTACGACTCCGTTATTTGTTGCAGGCGGCCACTGTATAGTCTGCATGGGCGTTGCCTAGGAGACGGCGAGCACGGAAGAAGGTCCCCCACGCCCCCCGCGCGCAACATCCACGCCGGTGCAATAGAGAGAGAGAGAGAAGAGAAAGAAAGAGAGAGCCAGCGGGCACGGAACACGGCAACCGCAAGACGCCGCGGTAGGCGAGAGACAGCGACCCCGCAATCAGCTATGTGGGCAGGACCCCGTGCGCATGCGTTGTTGCTGCCACATCGGTGTACAGCACCCAGGTGTACATACACGAGGCGAGAGAGAGAGAAGAGAGAGAGAGAGACAGGGAGACGCTAGAAGGAGGCAGAGCCATTCGTCAAGCAGCCAAACAAGCGGGTTGATAATTGTCATATTGACGAAAAGTAGCATGTTTCGGAAAAGGGGATGTTGAGAAAGATCGCGATGGCAATATGTGAGAAATAATGTACAGCAGACGTCACCGTGACGTCACCAAAGATAGAAAGCCCTAATAGTATGCTCACAGCCTGGGGTTCTTACCGTGGGGAGGGGAAATTAACCATTGTAAAGAACTGATTTTAACGGATCCGATAATCCGGACTACGAACTGTATAAATACGCTTTACATAGTTATATATATCCCCTTTAGAATATATTCATCCTGCACTTCTCACTTCGCCAAAGGTATTCTTTATTATGGCGCGCTTAACATTTTGACCAAAATTTATGAAAGACGAGGAAACGGTTAATTTGGTCTATTTTAATATATTTCGGAGATGAGCGAAGACGCGATAATCGCTAGCTAGTAGTAGCTACGTGAATAGAAACATCGAGCGGCGCGAGCACAGAATACCATCTTTGTGTGGGGCTGTGGGGACGAGAGGATACACAGATATAGACTATATATACGGGTAATTGCTATGCGTCGTACGAGAGAGTTGCGAACAAAGACGGGCGGAAATTGAACCGCACTCTTCCCGAACGCCTCCAAGTGTATATACCCCGCGCGCTGTTCCTGGTAATCAATGGAACATTCTCTCGTCGCTCTAGTCGGTCAAGGTGACCCGGGCGCAAAGACAATGTTTGCTTAATGAGAGAATTCTTGCGCCGTATGGCTGCATCGCTGATCACCGGCTAATATAGTCGGACGCGCGAGGAGGGCCACTCCGGCCACGGCGTGCGAGTGTTAAGAGGCTTGGATTACTGATTTCGTTCTTCACGGGCGCGCGCGAAACGCAAACAGAGCTTCTTTGTTTTACGCCTCCATGCGCTCGAGGGTTAAACTATTGCGGGTCGGCACAAGTAGGTGCGCTGAGCCGTTATGTATTGGCCGTATATTGGCTGGCGGGGGAGCGGGCGGGTGAGGGTGGGGGGCATGGGAGCAAGAGTTTGCATTGTTCAGTGCGAGCGTCCTTGCATGGCCGCGTCTTTGTGCGCCACACGTCCTATGTTTGGTCGAAACACACGCGAGTTGGTGCAAACGTTTGTTCAGCGCGCGCGCGCGTGTGTGTGTAGCGGGGCGATATGCTGTGAGCATCACTTGTTTCGGCTGGGCGGAGTGGTGACGGGGAGGGGGTGTCCGCAGTGAGAATAGGGCCGCGCGCGTCCGTGCAATACTTGACCTGTATTCTATCTCAGCTCGCTTCGTGCAATAGCGGCCGTATTGAGCGTGTGTGGTCGTGTTACATATACGCGGCCAATGCTATTGTCTAGAAACTAAGCAATAACAACAACGGCTAAAAGTAAGCAGCAACTTCTAAATCGCTCCCAGCACTAATACAGAACATCAATGGCACACATACAGACAGAAACATACAAACACGCACACACACGCAGGGGGTATGAAATTTGAACTCGTGGGCGATGATCACGCGCCTCTTTAACGTTGATTGTAGCTTACTGGGCGCGCTCGCGCCTGCGCACTGCTCGTTATAGATTAACTCGAACCAATATTATTTGCTCGCTCGCGACTAGGCGTCGACCGCCTCTGCAGTTTGAAACGCCCAGCTGGCGTCATGGCCGCCGTCCAAACTTCAGTCGCACGCAGACGAACGTTGCCGCCATCGCACGGCCAACGGAACTTGCTTGCTATAACGAATTTATAATACGTCGCGTAGTGTCGTTTGTTATCGGTGATCTTAATTTATAATGCGCAATGCGTTGCCTATCAACGCGGTGACGTCATATCATGCTTATCGTCGCGGCGGGTCGTACGCGAGCGAAGAGTCAACAGTAACGTCGAAGTTAACGGGCGTCGAGTCGCCGAACACACACCTGGTTCTCTGTTTGTAGTCTCCCGAATAACTCTTTGTCAACCGAATGCTTATAGACGTTGTCGATTTCATATACGATTTGCTGAAGGAATAGTCTAGCCACACAAAGCGCGTACACCCGGACGCGCGCGCGTACACACGCACGGACACACACACATACACATGCACACACACACATTCACACACGCGCGCGCACGCGCGCACACAAACACACGTACACACGTACTCTCTCTCCCCTCTCTCTCTCTCTCGCCCTTTTCCATTTGTCTCACTTTACATTGACCTCCCCTCACTTCTCCCCTCTCATATATCTCTCCATGGGACAGAAGTATCTGCATGTAGATCGGTTGGCCACTCTGCTCGCTCTCGGATAATCCGAGCAGCATTCAGTTACGACCGCAGCCGCGACAATGCGGCCTGCGCGCGGCTACCTCACCCCCACAGACCACCACACCGCACCACACAGCGCCCTCGCGCGTGCTGCCGGCCGGCCCCATCCCTCCAGCATTCCGCGATCTCACACCCCGGCCGCACGGCGGAAGCTACCTGAAAATTCCGTTGCACGCCTGGCAGCACGCCCGCTGTTTGCCGCCGCCCGCTCCCCACGTGCTCGGCTCGCGAGCGGGCCGTTGATTGACAGCCGACACAATGCGGCCGGCGGGAGACGGGGCGTGGCCAGGCGTTCACCTGCCGGGCGGCCGTATATAAGATATAATGCCCAACGGACCTTGGACAGAAAATGGTTGCAGAACGCTAAGCGCTTGACGGGGATTGTTGCAGCAGCTGACGCGCGACCAGCACACGACCACAGCGAACGAGAGCGGGAGAGACAGAACGCGAGAGAATCATGGCAGAGCAGCAAGCCTGTAGAGACGGCGCAGCGCAGAAAACGAACGCGCCAAAGAGCATCAAGCGCAAGACGGCCGGCGCCGAGAACAGCGGCCAGGACATGCTGCGCTGCAAGCGGCGCATCAGCTTCCAGAACCTCGGCTACTCGCTGCCGCAAGCCAATCCGGTATCGGTGCACCGGCGCAACGAGCGCGAGCGCAATCGCGTCAAGCTCGTTAACATGGGCTTCACGACGCTGCGCGAGCACGTGCCCAACGGCGCCAAGAACAAGAAGATGAGCAAGGTAGACACGCTCAAGTCGGCGATCGCCTACATCGGCGAGCTGCAGCGGCTGCTCGAAGACTACCACGGCTACGACCCAGCGCTGACGGCGCAGGCGGTCGCCGCCTTCGCGTCGGCGCAGCGACACGTCATGGAGAACTTGAACGCGGCGGCGGCGGGGGCGTACAGCCCCGACTCGTCGTCGTATCTGCCCGCGTCGACGCCCTCGCCGACGGACTACTCGGTGTCGTCGATGTCGCCGGCGACGTACGCCGACGCGTCGCCGTCGGCTTACACCAGCGGATCGCCGACGGCCGGCTACACGACGTCGGCAGCGCCAACGTACCAGTCGACGTCGCCGCACGGGTACCACTATAATCAGTACCAGCAGCACGACGGCGTTTGCTACGGCCAGCCGACCGACATCGGACATCACCATGGCGGCGGCGCAGGTAGCGGAGGAGGAGGAGGCACGCTGAGTACGGGCTCACCTTCCCCGAGCTACCTCTCCGATAACTCTACGGGAGACGCACCGGTCAGCCCGAAGGACGTGCTAGAGTTAGCATCGTGGTACGGCAGCATCTCCTAAGCACGGCCAGGTGAGGTGACAGACGTATAGGCGGCCTACATGTAGTTACGCTAATGAAGAGGTTTCTAGTTACGCTAATGATAATATTTGTAGTTACACACGCTATAATAATAGCTTTTATAGTTGAGCGTTAACGATAGCGTCTGTCGTTACGCTAGCGATAATGTTTATAGTTAAGTTAATGACAACATTTATAATTACTTTTTACACAACCCTGACTACTATGAATTCCTTTCAAGATTCCTGTAATATTTCCTCTAGTACCTTTTGTGCCTAGATCAAGTTGCGACCGTAGACAATTTTACGTTTTCTAAGATGAATTTCACTCATGAATCTAATGGATCTTTAATCACAGCCAACAACGATTATATTGGTATTTTTTGAAAATTTCCCATGTTTCCAGCATGCGCTGCGGATGATTTCTATGTAGTTTGACGTGAGCTGAGATTAGTGATAGTAGTAGCGTTACGATCACCGTCTTCTGGCAACAATGACTCTCTGTTGTGACTTGGGAGCAAGCGAGTTGGTCGAGGCATAGCGTGCTGTAATTGTCGTGGCTAAACTTCCAAACATAGGTATGATTCGTGACTGCATGAGTTGGAACATTTTCCCGCGAAAACCACATGCACAAGCAAGGCTACCTGGAATGAATGCCACTGAGAATTTTAGGCATAAAACGTTAAAATTGTGAATAATGGCCGAGCCCAGGGCCGCGTAGTTTTTTTGTCGTAATTCTGTAGATAAAATCAGCACTTTTCTGGACTTTTTGACATTTGTTACAGGATTTAGAAATGTTGAAAAGATCTATATGTGAAAGAAACCGGTCAGAAAATTGCCTTTCAACAGAAAACACCTTGTGCGGTAGCGTGTACGCGGATTTGATAAAAAATCCCAGGTAATCTGATATTTTCCACAAAAACACACTCAAACAGGTAAATATTTGAAATACCTCGCGGCTACAACTCAATCAGCATAAATCCCACCGCACCCGAACCCCCGAGCTCTAAGATCCCAGCGAGGAATCGAGGCATTTCAGACTGTTTCCTCTATCTCAATGGCACACTTTTGTGTAATTTACGGTTCTCCATTTGGGAAGCTATTTCGACCCACAAAAGTGCGCGCTGCCTTAGAATTATTACTTTGGAAACTGGTTCTATACACACCGAGGTCCCGACCAGACGATATTTTATTTCGGGTACTTCAAATCGCTTTTTCTGACAATAGTGAATAGAAAGCGTCGGCTAGACAAGGTGGTTATTTAGTCGAGAATTGCCCTTATATATCTTTTTTCCTAGGATATAAATGGACCCACACACACACACACACATATATATATCTATATATATATATATATATATATATATATATATATAGTAGTGTGTATTACTATTACTTTAACTTTACTTTTTACGTTACTTCGTACGTTCGTACGTTACCGGTTAGTTTTCGTTTTTTCTACGACGGACCTTAACCTTGTTCGGTT